CTGTTCCAGGAGACAGTTTGCAGTTTCCTGAAAAACGCACACTGACCCTAGGACACTGCCAGACTCTACCGTGGGTTTTCACAAGAGAAATCTATTTAATTAAAGTTTTTTTTTTCTTCCTGACATTAATAGTTGCACACTGAAAGCAATCCAAATATTTGCCTAAAGGTGGGTGGTTAAACTGTGGGACACCCACACCCTTTTAACAGTAAAGAAAGAAATGGCTGATTTACCTTCCTGGGGCAGGAAGGTAGCACTGTTTGGCCAGGAAGGCTTGATGAGACAGACCTTGGTCAGTCAGGACACCAAGTCTAGTTCCAAGTGAGCAATAAACAAGCCCTTCCCCTTTCTGGATCTCTGCTTCTTCCAAGAAAGAAGGTCAAAGAACACTTTCAACCCTATTTTATGTTCTCTGCGCACCCTGCAGAGCCTAGCTCTTCCTCCCTCTCAAGCTGCTTGGGTGCCACAGTCAAAAGGGGTCTCAATTCTTGGTGAAACTGCACCCCACCACCCCACCAGCTCAAAGCAGAGCCCCCTTCTCCCCCTGCAGTGCCTTCCTAGACAGCCCCTGGCCACTCTGCCTCCTCTCCGGGGCTACCCCTCTTCCCCAGGTGTCCTCGTTAGGGTTTCTATTACTCTGGTAGAACACCATGACCAAAAGCAACTTGAGGAGAAAAGGGTTCCGTTCACTCTCATTTCCACATCATGGTCCATCATCAAAGGAAGCCAGCGCAAGAGGTCGAGGCAGGAACCTGGAGCTGACGCAGGAGCCACAGAGGGTGCTGCTTACCGGCTCCTCATGGCTTGCTCAGCCTGCTTTCTTACAGAACCCAAGACCACCAGCTCGGGGGCTACCCCACCCTCAGTGAGACAGACCCTCCTAAATCAATTATCTATCAAGAAAATGCGCCCCAGGATTGCCCACAGGCCAATCTAGCAGAGGCACTATCTGACTTGTTGTTTCCTCTTCTAAATGACCCTAGCTGGTGTTGCTTAGAGTGGTAGTCAGAGACCGAACACTTCATACTGAGGTTAGAGGTTCTACACACCCTGGGATGCACAGCAGCTTTAGTTAAAAGCGGGTAGTTTTCTCTTTCAGAGTCCTTGAAAGACAAGCTGGAAGGGCATGGTTCCAGCAGAAAGGAGGGCCTATGTCCTATACAGTCTTGCTTCAAGGAAGTTCCTCCCCTTGTCCTTGTTGGATCTGTGTACCCAAGGCTGGGCCAGAATTTCTTACCCAAGCAGACTGGGTCATTTGGCTGCCCTGTAGTAGACAATAAATATCCACAAAACTAGATCAACGTCTTCTTGCTTGGAATATTTTCTGAACGGGACTCCAGTAGCACAAGAAATAGTCCTAAGGGTTGAAATGAAATCAAGAAGCTTCCGTCCAACAAAGAGAACAAGCATGGGGTGAATGGACAAGCTACAGAATGGAGGAAGTCGTCACCAAGTGTACCTCAGGCAACAAATGTTGAGTCAATGAATGTGTCGATGAACTGAACAGGCAGCATATGTATTCCAAAACATTCAATGTCCTTGGCTACCAGGGAGTGCAGATTAAAACTAGTCTGAAATTCCATCTCATCTGAGTCAAGAAAGCAAACAGCAACAAATTCTGTAGAAGATATAGGGAAAAGGAACATTATTCACTGCTGATGAGCGTGTCAACTAGTACAGTCACCGCTGAGTCCCTATGGAGGATTCTCAGAAGCTGCTTGTGCCTCCCATGAGTCCATATGGAGGTTTGTCAGGAAACTGACTATGATTCAGCTCTATTGCTCTTGGATATACTCCTGAAGGGGTCAGCCAACACTCCAGAGAAATGCCTTGCATATCTCTGTTTATAGCAACACCTTTCACAATACCAAGGAGGTGGAACCAGCTAGACTAGGCGGCCATTAAAAAAAAAAAAGAAGAAAAAAACCTAATCATGGCACTTGCAGAAATGGATAGGGCTGAAATCCTTGTGGTGAGTGAAGATTCAGAAAGACAAATTGCTTTATGTTCTCTCATATATGTAGACCACTCACAGAGGGGAAAAAAAAAAAAAAAAAAAAAAAAAACAGATTCATCCTAGGACCCTTGTAAAGAAATCTGAGAAGGGAGGGGGGAAGCAACCCGGTTGCTGGCCAGCAGGGAAGGCTGGGCGGATTACAGCAGGCTCACTCACTCACCTGGGCCATCAAGCCAAAGCTGCAGGAAGCAAAGGCAGAAGGAGTTCCTGGGAGATCAGCAAAAAACTCCACTGCCCCTGTTCACAGGAATTCAAAAGTAGAATGACTCACCCTTAGGGGGGGAAATGCTTGCTGAAGCTGGCTTGGGAAACCCTGCCTGGATGACCACTTGCTTCATCCTCCACATCTGAGACGTGGCAGATGCCGTGCCACAGGGAAGAGGGCACACAGACAAAGCAGAGAGCGTGGATGCTCAATCCGCGCCCTGCCCTTTCTTACCTCACAAAGATTCCTCACAGTCCTCAGAGCAAGAACAGCCTCAGCATCGAGAAGGAAAACCAAGCCCCTGACGAGGAAGGAGGGTTCCATCCCAGAAACTATAAGCTGCTTCTGAAGGATACCCAGGTTTTGGCACCTATTCGGGGGAAGGCCCACGAAGGGCAGACGCAAGGCTGCCAGCCAAAGAACTGTCATGTTCCCTTGTTGGTTACATACAGCAGCTCCGAGGTCAGGCAGCCTCAGATCCCTGGCCCCGACCCCCAGCCCAGCGTCTTCCCCAGCATCCCATAGCTTCACCCCAAGGGCTGACCACCAGCAGCTAGGTGGAGGGAGTCCTAGGATGGGGGTCCAGATGAAAGCTGTGACCCTCCCTATCTTTCTAATTTCCTGAGCCACAAAAGGAAAACTAAAATGTGACCAATGTCTCACCCTGTCCCTGACCCCCCTTTTAAGGACACAGGCAAGAAGTTCTAAGTAGGAGGCAGAAAACTCAGAAAGGAGAAGGGCAGAGGCCAGGACTCCATTATGCTAATTTAATTAGCTCTAATCTGCTGACAGCAGGGCCTTGAAGGGAGAAAGAGGCTTTTGTTGAAGCTTCATGTTTGGCAGGAAGTCACCCTCACCCTCCCTCAGAGATAATGAGTCTGAAGGTTCTGACTTGGGTCCTGACTTTCACATCCAGTGTGGCTGAGATTCCTATTCATCCTTCTCGGACCAGCCTCTCAACTTCTTCAGGAAGGAAAATGCAGCCCAGATGTTGGTCAATAAATGGAGGGTTTTCGTCGCCTTTATGAAAGGGTATCAATAATTCAGAACCCCCCAAGATGTCAATCAGAGAGGAATGCAGCCAGTTTCTCTCCATCAATAAACCAAACGTTTCCTGCTTGCCTAACTCCCTCCTGCAGTGGGCAAGGAGCCTCACAGAATCAGACATTCTCACAGCCGTTATGTAGCCGGACCCCTTTATAGCTACCCATGAGTCACCGCACACAGGGGAGGAGACTCAGAGTGGTGGTACTGCGCTTGCCTAGCATGAGCAAGCCCCTGGCTTGAGTGCCAACAGCACCAAAAGAAAAAGAAACTTCCAGAAAGCCTGCTTTGTAGCTTCTCCAGTTTCCATAGCAATACATCACTTTCCCACAATGGTCAACTTTAAGCTGCAAACTGTTTTGTCTTGTTTTTCTTCGTGTGTGTGTGTGTGTTTGTGTGTGTGTGTGTGTGTTGATAATGTTTTTTTTTTTCTGTTCTGTTTTTAACAATTTTTAACAAGCAGTTTGTAAAATTCCTGGATGCTGAAGACTCAAAGTTGAGAATGAGAGACACAGAAGGCTTCTGTGACAACTTCCCCCTCCCCAAAGAAACACTGAAGAGGAAGCCATCAAAGAGAACTCTTAAAACTGTGACAAGGGTGCTGAAGTGTAGCTCTTCACAGTTTCTGGCAGGTGGGTGTGGGGGAGGTTTGAGCACTCAGCTTTCTTTAATGGGCTGGCCAATGGAAGTTTGAGCATGCTCCAGTGAGTATATGAGAAACACAGATGGGACTCTGTATTTCTTCTTCTTCTTCTTCTTCTTCTTCTTCTTCTTCTTCTTCTTCTTCTTCTTCTTCTTCTTCTTCTTCTTCTTCTTC